CCTCAGGGGAAAAGCATGCATTACATGCAATCAACTATGTGGTCTCATGGGATACATGTAGCACTATTAAATAAAATCAAAAAGAAATTGTGACACTAAGTGTGAGAATCTGGATATAATTACAACTTTAACTTTCAACGCCATTGTTCCAAATTATATAGTTAACCCTACATAATTACCTCATTGCAGAATTTCCCAATCTCAGGCACTCCCATTCATAATCTTTAGGGAAATACTTAGGCTAATAAGAAATGATATATTTTTTACCAAAATAAATTACGATCTGATATCATATTGTCATTCTTAATGAGCCTGCATCATGAGGAACCATTTATAGGTTAAAATGCCTTGCAACCTATGTAGTCATCAAGATGTTATTTGCAGCTAGCTTTAGTTGCTCTAAAATGATTAAACCCCATCCTTAACTAGCCAACATATCAAAATCCTGTCGAACAATGATTAAACTTCAATAATCTCCTTAAATTTTACTAAAAAAAATAATGTACAACTCTAAAAACACAATATCATAAGAACATGAAATTTCGAATAATATAAAAAATGCAACATCCAAATTCCCATCACAATGTTTCAAACGTGCCAGAGTTATACCTTAGATTGCCTTTTAGCAAGATCAACCGAAAACAAAATTTAGCAAAAAAATACAAATTTTCCAATAAAGGCGTTGCCCTTTTAGGCAAGATCCAGCAAAAATATGAATTTGAGGACCTGGAGCTGATAAATAAAAATCAGCATGAATCAACCTTTAGAACTCCCGCATGCATCGCGAGAGGAATCGTGGTGCGAAGAGTAGAAAAAACACGGAAGTGGTGGTAACCCTACCCTTCAACAAGTTTACCCAAATAAATCACAGATTTGACAATAGTACAGATTAGGCTATTTTACATCGTTTCCTCTCGTTTTCCGAAGGAAATGGGGAGAAAGACGAAAGAGTTGAGATGGCATGGGATTCCGCGGCTTAGAGGGTCAGGAGAAGAAGTGAACCCAAAGCAGAGAAAAAGAAAACTTAAAATGGCTTTTTCGACGGTGCCGCTGTTTCAGAAGGGAGGAAACGGAAGTTTTCGGAGCCCTCTTTTTAACGCGACAGAACACCTTGGTCCTAAAAAACAAAGTTCTCTCTCATTCTTCATCGAAAAAGACACCACGGAGAACCAAGCAACAAAGAAGAGGAATAAAGCCATGCCGATTCTTGATTGCCGTCGATTCCCCATCCAAATCCCAAACTCAACACAAACCAACAACCAAACACCATCTTCGGGTCACCAAGTTGGCTTACCGTCATAGCTATGGGGTGTCCAAAAAAGCCGGAGTCCGACCGCCGGTGTCCGGCCGGGCCCGCCTGGGCCCGGAACAGCTGCCAAAAAATGCGGCACTGATCTCTCTCTTTCATCCTCCTCGTCTCCCGACGCCGAACGCCGTTACCTCAATATCTACGTCACACCGCTCATTCATGCCGCCTACTGTTTTGCTTGAGAGAGACAGTGCCCATTTTTGGCACTGTCGGGCCGGCCGGGCCCGGGCGACACCGCACCAGGCCGGGTCCGGACTCCGGGCTTTTTGGACACCCCTAGCTATGACGGTAGCAACTTGGTGACCCGAAGATGGTGTTGGGTTGTTGGTTTTGTTGAGTTTGGATTTGGATGGGGATATCGACGAGCAATACAAGAATCGCATGCCTTTATTCCTCTTCTTTGTTGCTTGGTTCTCCCTGGTGGTGTCCTTTTTTCGATGAAGGAATGAGAGAGAACTTTGTTTTTTAGGAGGTGTTTGGTTCGCTTAAAAGAGGCTCGAAAACCCGTTTCCTCCTTCTGACAACAGCGCCACCTCGATAAAACCCATTTTAGGGTTTTCTTTTCTCTGCTTTGGTTCACTTCTTCTCCTCGACCCTCTAGCCGCGGAAATCCCATCCATCTCAACTCTTCGTCTTTCTCCCATTTCCTTCGAAAACGAGAGGAAAACGATGTAAAATAGCCTAAAATCTGTACTATTGTCAAATCTGTGATTTATTTGGGTAAACTTGTTGAAGGCTAGGGTTACCACCACTTTCCCTTGTTTTTTTCACTCTTCGCACCACGATTCCTCTCCGATGCATGCGGGAGTTCTAAAGTGTTGATTTCATGCTTGATTTTTTATTTATCAAGCCTCAGGTCCTCAAATTCATATTTTTGCTGGATCTTGCTAAAAAGGCAACGCCTTTATTGGGAAAATTTTGTATTTTTGCTAAATTTTTGTTGGATCTTGCTAAAAAGGCAATCTAAGGTATAATTTCTGCAAGTTTTAGAAACATTGTGATGGAATTTGGATGTTGCATTTTTTATAATTATTCTGAAATTTTCATGTTCTTATGATATTGTGTTTTTAGAGTTGTACACTTATTTTTTTTAGTAAAATTTAAGGAATTATTTGAAGTTTAATCATTTTTCGACAAGGATTGATATGTTGGCTAGTTAAAGGGATGGGGTTTAATCATTTTTAGAGCAACTAAAGCTAGCTCAAAAAATCTTAATGACCTACATATGGTTGCAGCATTTTACCTATAAATGGGTTACCTTCATGATGCAGCTCATTAAAGAATGACAATATGATATCAGATAGTAATTTATTTTGGTAGAAAATATATCATTTCTTATTAGCCTAAGTCCATTTCCCTAAAGATTATGATGGGAGTGCCTGAGATTGGGAATTCTGCAATGAGGTATTATGTAGGTTACACTATATTAATTGGGAACAATGCTTGAAAGTTAAAGTTGTAATTATATCCAGATTCTCAACACTTAGTGTGCACACATTTCTTTTTGAATTTTATTTAATAGTTGGCTACATGGTATCCCAAGTTCTGAGCCCTCAGCCATAATTTGCATATACATGTGGCTGGTTTATTTTATGTGATGTCAACAAATGCTTTCAAATAATTTTTTAATCATAAAGTTCATTCAAATTTGAACATGCATTAATTATTAAAGTAGTACACGATAATAACAAAGTAGTACATATCCAGGCTTTCATTTTAGCGATTTTAAATAGATTTCTAGACCATGATGCTTTCTAATATATTCCTTACTCAGATTGGCAACAACTTCATTATAACCAACTTCATGGGCGTGTGCTAGGAGTTGATTTTTGTTGTAAAAAATGTTGGAAATATCTTTACAGTAAGGACACTTCCAATTTTCTTTTTGGTCTATAACTTTTACAGCATTAGCTCTTAGCATAATTTCTGCTAATTCCATGATATCCCATATTTTATCTTGCTCTCGATCTGCATCCGTATAGGCAATACATTCTTCAAAGGTTTGTTTATGTTTAGTAATGCTTCCACACTGATAAAAAAATATAGTAAATTGATATTAAAATAAATAGCTCCATTGTTTATCATAAAAATTTTTAAATATTCTTATCGTTGATGATGGTGCAGATGAAGATTCACCATTATCTTTACTTTTCTTACTCATATATTTTTCCTAATTAGAATTTGGTATGCAAATATTGCGTTTTATAGATGTTTATGGACTGGTACTTTTACTTGGTGGTTGGCTGTTGAATCTGATAATATTTACTTGGATCAATAAATTTTTTACTAGTATTGTCCATGGTTTTGAAACCGAACTGGTTTTTTTTTTGTAGTTGACTCAACTATTCAGTCTCTGTTACGCACATATTTGGTATTTCCAGGTTTGATGTGATTTCCAATGTCATATGCATATTTATGACTAATCAGATTGTTTATAGGTTTTTTACAGGTTTCATAAGAATTTTTTTTATTTAATAGTTGGCTACATGGTATCCCATGAGACCACATAGTTGATTTGCATGTAACTGCATGCTTTTCCCCTGAGGGTTAATATTTAGAAATATTACAGAGTTTTCTCTTTAAATAATATCGTGGGAAATTGCTTTTCCCCTCTAGGAGGGAGCTGCAATGAAAAATAATTTACCATAGGTATTCGGTTGTCATGCCACAAGTTTATATTGGTGACTTTTTTACTTTTAGGCTATGATGATTGTTAAATTTTCTAAGATTAACAACCTACAATATCATTTAATATTACACTGGATGGCTAACAATGATGATATTGACCAAGTTATGAGCCCTCAGCCATAATTTGCATATACATGTGGCTGGTGAGAAACAAAACAAATATTTCTCAACTTTTAAATTTAGAGTTATTAAATTTTGTCCGTGAGTCAATATGCACCTTCAATCTCTTCATCATAATAACCTCAATATCAGATTTTCGCACTATTTTTTTTTTAAATCATCATATTCGTACGCACCCCAATTGTTTGTCAAAATGCTAACAAGAAAACAATAGAGAAATCACATTAAGTCACACCAAAACCCTAGTTTCAACAAACCCAAATAAAAAAAGAATCAAACTTTGACCAAAATCATCATCAAGAACAGTACCTGAACCGCCCAGGGCCTCGAGAGCGCATCAATGGCAGGAGCATGAGCGCCCTCTTCGACCAAACGCCGCTTCCGAAGAGCTCTAATCGCGAGGTTTATCGCCCTGCTCCCAATTTCATCGAAACTCCTTGAAAAAATTCAAAATAGAAAAAATTAAGGCATCGAAAGAGAGAAATCTTACGAGCTGAAATAAAATCAATGACTTTTCCCCCTCACATCTTTCTCTAATTAGCTGCCGATAATCTGAGTATCAAAGTTTGGTTCTTTTTATTTGTTTTTGTGCGATCGCAGATTGAGATAGATTTGAGAAGGGAAAGTAAAAAATTTTGTAGGTTTTTGGGGTCGGGAAGAAAACTTGTGGAAAAGCTAACACGACACCAATTAATGTCAGCGGCGCTATTACGTATGGAGAGGATCTACGGAGAACAGTAGGATTCTGAAATAGGATTCGTATTTTTTATCATTACTAGTTAGATTGCACGTGCAATGCACGTGGTAAAATTTTTAATATTAATTTAAATTATAATTATATTTATGGAAAGATTTGGTATAAATTTAATAAATGTACACAATATATATGAACATAGGCTAAAAATTAAAAATGTTTGATTAATACATTTATATTTAAGGATCAATTATGCGATAGTAGAGTGGTTGTATCTACAAGATGATTGATCAATCAAATACAATTCTCAGATGTTTTTGGGAATCATCAGAAGACTGAGTGCAATGTGATCATCCATGCAAGTCATATGTTGTGTTATTATCTGTTGTTCCATCTCCCTTTGCAGGTTTTCTCGCTTGGAAGCAATTGCATCTATCTCATCAATGAATATGATTGATGGGGCAGTAAATTATCTTATAGTTTCTTCAGAAACACCTACAACAATCATGTGCAAAGTTAAAATAAATTGATACTTGATATTAAAATTTATCAATGTCATTTAGTCATGAAGTAATTGACAGTAATCACTTAGCACTTCCTCTTACAAGAGCAAATCAATTAAAATTAGCTAAATCCTAGACTGTTTCAATAGCTTAGAAATTAGATCAGATATCCCATGGAAGAAAATTATTGTGATACTGAAAACTATGAAAACTGTCACTAACCGTGGACGTGATATTTGTTAAAAAATTAGTTACAAACTGTCACTAACCGTGGCGAGTACCTTAGTATGAATTGGTCGGCAAGATTGAACAGTTACAGGTTCTCCATGTATGAATTGGTTGGCAAGATTGAACAATTACAGGTTCCCCTTGTTCGATGGATGTAAACCAGTTGTTATACTCGAAACAGAAGAAAAAAGAAGGAAAATGGAAAAAAAATTAGTTTGTGTATGCAGTGTTATATTCGATGAGACCTAGCTGTATAAGAAACTGGATTCTGGATCATTGAAAACTTTTAACATGCCTGATCAATTGCAAACATCACAGGAATATCTTTCACCAATGATAATTCCTTCCTCAAGCGAACCAAGATCCCAACTGAAGCATGAGAATAGGTAATGCCATTTTGAACAAGCTCAATAATGTGGATCCTTCAGGCATTGCCATGGAATCAACCCCTTTCATCATTCCAACACCGGCACCTTCTCCCATGGGAATAGGCTCAAAAATTTAACAAGGTAATTATTGTAAGCGAGACTTGTTGAATTCCAGAAAATCCTAAATGTCAACACCAATATTAGAAACAGCAGCTTAGAATCGGGGCTTTCTCTAGAAATATAGACCACAAAACAGGGCATTCATGATTCATATCACTATGCTATGTGGAAAAAGATGCCCAGATAAGAGAAAGAAAAAGCCAACTTATATGTTGAATATGAAAAGGAAAGAAAAGAATGCAACAGATACATCCACTTTTATCGACATTATAAAATTTTCATAGTAAAAATAAAATTTTGAATTAATACAACATTAGAGTTCAGGAATCCTAACTGAAAAGTATCTGATTGTTACCTGATATGGTTATGATCCTCCTAAAGCCAACTCTGCCTTCATCTAAATTTAATTCTAATTATTAAAAGCATTTCTATTAGCATCCATTGAAAGTCCATGCAACAAAGTCATAAATTGAGAGATGTCAAAATGCCAAGATTAATTACTCACTATGTTGTGTACCAAAGGTAGTCTGTTGCGTCTCTCGTCACATTTATTTGCTCCAATAATCCATTTGTTGTGAACGAGTTATCATCGTAGGAGTTTGTGTCTTTGTTGTAAGATATCCACGAAAACTCTCCAACGGAATCCATTTTCATCAGTGAGGTTTGGACTCCTACCTGTTTACATCAGTATAGTAAGTCACCAAGACTAATTTTTTTGAGAAAAATAATCTAATTGGTCATGAATGTAAGTACATAGAATGCACTAACTTAATTTGGGTTTTTTTTTTGTATATCTACCAAGTGAATCATGCATATTTGCAACCCCCCCTTATACATCTATACAAGAGATTATTGAATTGTACGACGTTGAATCAAAGGTTTTGCTCACCCTTTCATTGTTGAAGACAGAGGTTTTACAGTCAGGAAGGATGCTAACAGACCAAGTAGGAAGATCATAGTGCATACCATTGAAAGCTACTTTAATTAAGTTTTGAGAATCACCTGAAAACGTGAGACTATACCAAGGAATGATGAAGAGTTAGTCTGTAAACCATTTATAAGGATGTTCTACAAAAAGAATATTTGTTTATAGCTAGGCTACATCTTGATTGCTTCCAAGTGATGTCCTAATAGGATCCCCAGAAGCCAAAGCAGGTTCACAGAACTTGATTGCTTTGTTCAAGTCTTTCAAATGGCCCGATTTTGGTTCTCTTAACAGACCTATGGAAAAAGAGTGTAAATTTTCAATAGTTGACAGAGAGCAAGTACAAAACGTGATTCCCAGATTAAAATGTTTTATGTCATAATTGGTAATATAGTAGTGTATATTAAACATTTATTTATTTGTTATTAATTTCTTAAGTGTTTGCACATTCTCTATTGTACTCATTAGTAGTGCAAGAAGATTACCTTGTTTAATGTTTAAAGTGTGTTAGTGTATGCCTCATAGGTGTGAACATTGAAATTATCTACCTATAAAGTGTATTTGGTAAGAGACATATCTTCTCTTAACTGCTATAATTTGCCTAATTTAAAAATTACTGCATAGTGACTCGAAGAGAAAGGTGTTAAGTGAGAAACTGGCAAACTAATCATACTTATTAAACAATGCATAAGATTAACTGACCATATTCATCAATTGGAGCATCATAATCATAGTTTGTAGCTATGAATGGACCACCAGCTGTCTTGCCAAAATTCGTTCCACCATGGTACTATAGCCAAAAAAGCAAGTAAGTAAAAGTCACACTTGTGAAACATAATATTTCGATGAAACAAAAATAAATAGTACATTAAATCCTCACCATATAGTAGTTGAAATAAGATCCACCTTTCTGTATAAACTGTGCAATAGGAAAGGCCACATCTTCAACGTGTTGATAATGAACTGGACCTCCAAACCCTGTAAACCTGAAATTTATACAAAAGAAAACAAAAGGTTGTGAATTTGGCTAAAAAATAACCATATCTTCCTAATTAAACTAATGAAAAGTTGCTTAGAAAACAAGCAATTACCATGCAGTCCAGACTTCAGTCCACATAGATGGTTTATATGGATTGTTTGGAGAGAAATCATCGACATAAAATCCATTCCACGTGTTAATCTATACGAATTCAAGAAAATGTTTTACTATTAAGAATGATTCAATTTGACTATTTAAAGAGGTGCAGTGAGATAGAATATAAGATTACTAAAGCATGTGCAGTGGGTCCTTGTAGAGAAGGCAAACACAATTATAAATTATTTAACTAAGCTGTCACTGAAAAGGATTCCAAAATGATTTAAAAAAGAGAAGAAGAAACTTACAATAGGATCAGGTGCATCATCTTCTTTGCACATAATCCATTGAATCCCAGTGTCAAGGTCAAGTTTCATTTTCGCTGCCCAACCTGCATAAGCCTTTGCTGGAGCCTCATGATCCCGTTCTAGATGCCTAAATTCATTCTCAACACTAGACAAACAACATTAGTAATAAATTGTTTGTTAAACATCATCAAAACAAGAAGGCCAACAAAAGGGACAAGATCAAAATATATTCCTATGTGATTATAAACTTTTATATTAGCTAAAATTTGGGTTATTTCTGTACCTTGAAAGGTTCGTTATTAGTTCTGAAACTGATACCATGCACATATTTAAGGCAAACATGGAATCCCGTATACATTACAATAAACCATAAACATAATTAAACATTAATATTTAAATTAATCAATCAATCCATAGCAAATTTTCTCATTACCCAAAATTCCATTCAGCACAAACATAAGGGCCAATGCGCAGATTGACATATAGGCCATCCTTCTGTACTAACTTGATAAACTTAACCAAGTCATACATGTCCTCAAAATAATACTGCACACCAAAAGAAAGTCATCGATAAATCATCAAAACTCACCAAAAATAAAAAGCTAAAGTTCTAGTATTTTACCTGGCCTTGGACAGGCTCATGCCCATTCCAGAAAACATAGGTTTGAATCCCATTCAAGTCCCCATCTTTATCCTTTCGAATGAGATCCGACCACATCTGAACAATACCCAAATTTAAAAAAAAGAAACAAAAATATTTCAGTCCGACTTTGAGTTTGATTTGGTACCCAACACACTCCTCCTGATTCGTTTACCCCTCGTATGCCTGCTTTTTCTCTTGCTACGGTCATCACTGATATCGCCCCTGGATTCCCTGTTGTTGCTTGTGATGATGAAACAATGGTCATTGATGTTGAGTGGGTGCAGAAGAAAGAGAAGATTGGACAACGAATATCCTCAGCAAGCTAGAAGAAAGTCCTGACAATAAGCATATTTTTTACAAGTTTAACTTGTTATGCTCCTGACAGCATGTCATAAGTTCCTTAATCTATATCTATAAATAAAGTGAACTGCATCTATTGTAAATTAAACACTGTAAACTAAAACATGTGTGTATTGTAACTATAACTTCAGTTAGATTTGAATGAAAAGCAGGTATATAACAAGAAAAACAACAATGACAACAATTAGTAGACAAATAAATCAAATCCAAGTCACAAAACAGAGGCTAGACACAACAAATTAGTCTTTATGTTTTTTTGGGAGAAGATGTTATCAAGTAAAATATCTCTAGACACTCAATTAGGTGGAAAAAGAATCTATCAGAAGATTCATGATAGGGAGTGGTAAATAAAACTCTTCTCATGAGACATCAGATTCTCATATACAATCATTAACATGAATGTGTAATTTTGCTATGTATATAACTCATGATGAAAGAGGGGGCAACAAATCTCTTAAGAGCCGCAGGAGTGAGTGGAAATTTTTCTGATTATTCAATCATACAATTGCCAGGGAACGTCCAAATGCGTGCAAACCAAATTGAATGAATTTCATGACTCAAATGCATTAGTCCATAGTCTTTATTTATCTCGTGTGATACCAATAATAACTTATGATTTAAGAACAAAACTCATATGCAAAGTACAATAATTATGTTAACAAATATAATTAATCAGGCAGCTGACTCATAACTGTCTTCTAGTCAACAAATATGACGGATGTCAAACATAGTATCTTTAGGGACATTGTAGCATTTTCAGCGTACTATATAATTATCCAACCATATGTGGATTTTTCAAATATCTATAGAATTTGGAAACATGTATATTTTTTTAGTACGTAAAATCATAGTTTGGTAGCAGGTATCAATCTGTCATATTTGATCCATATACGATAGAATTTAACTATCGAAACATGTCCAAGAAAAAGGGTTGTGCCATCTTTTAATTTCAATAATGTTTATGAATATAATCACATCTACTCATGATCGCAATAGCAACTCAATGTGCCTTTTTGTTATTTTCCAAGAAACAAGGTAATCATAATCCATGTTGATTACTTTTATTGAAATTTTATTAAGCAAAAGAAAATTACAGGGACGCATATCTTGTTAATTATGCAGCACTTTCAATATAATGAACTTATTTTGTAGAATGGAATGTGGCTTGGACAACAACCTCATTTTCTCGGAGAATTGACCTCCTCTGTAGCTGCACAAACGAAGAAGAAGGAAAAAACTGTAAGTGCACCAAGTATAGACTTCTGCTCATGCGGATCACACCACAGATGTCCTCACAACCTATAATATTTGACTACTCAGGAGAGGGACAAACTACTTGATAATTTGTTTGTAAAAACTTTGTTCAAATATCAGATTATCTTCACCAATGATTTTTTCAAAGGTATTAAATCCTAAATTGATCACATGATTTATTCAAAGGTATTGAATCCTAAATTGATCATCGTCCACGAAAAAATGTTACCTTTGTCCATTGTCGAAGAAATGAACTTAACGTGCATAAGTATAATGTGAACCATGTTAAAACAGTGAGAGAGATTCCTTCAATACACGGCGTTGGTAAATGAAGAACACTATCAACGTGCAATTCTTCATGTAAGCAACACTTAGCAGAGGTGTATAATAAGTTATTAAATAAAAGTAATTTTCTCAATTCCCCACTTCAACCAAAAAAAAAGTAAGTTTTTCCAGATGCTCATCTCACTTCCATACAACTTTAGCTTATCCCTACATGTTAGCTAACAAAAACTGGCAAAACATAATACTGTTCCCTAAGAGTCCAAGACCATATATGGTTCTCACGACTTTACTCTCAAATATGGAGGAAATGTGTCAAGTGATTAGAATGTGTTCATTTAGCAAAAATAATTTTCATACTGTACTACCTGAGTGACTCTGTCAACAATGCAATCATCAGCATAAGTTCCTTTATGGATGCATGGTAGCCGGTCAAACCTAGGATCCTTGGCAATCCTGTAACAAACCAATGAATAACTCAGTCATAGCAAAAGGAAATATATGCACTTGCGGAAATGATACTAAGGACCAATGCAATATGAAAAGGGCAACACCAATAGCTTCAATTAGAAAACTGCATAACCACAGCCACAAGTACCATGATAACAAATCATCTTTGAAATCAAAATCTTGGTTAAAGGAGACTGAAAGAAACCTTAAAGCTACCCGATATTTCTGTCCCAATTTTTCAAGCTCAGCCATGACACAGTCCGTGATACAGGGAGTGGTGCCTAAATAAGCCAATGACAGTAAGATTGGCGTCAGCAATTAATTATTAATAAGACATAAAGCCAAGCAAAGCAAAGCAAAATGAAGGTAAGGAACAAGTATGGTAATAAAATACAAACTGAGTTTATCTTCCAACTCACATTTTGCATACAGACAGTCCATCATTCCTTTCTCCAGATCCAACTACACGTAAAGTCAGATCCCTTGAGTAATTAGTAATCACATATTTTAAGATTTAATAGAGTAATCAAATACTGGCAATAATATCAAATATCTTTGGAGGAAGTGATTATTTCTAAACTTTATGCACACCGCCCCTGAAAAATTGTTTACTTTGTTAATAAACTTCAGTTGTTTATCGATGAACATACCTAAAGGCATGCATATCTATATCGTAGAGGAGCATTCTGCCGAACTAATCAATGATCATGCATATCTATACCTCCAAAGATAAACAACAGCATTATCAAGTTTGATTTTTAATTTGTTCAACTATATTATCAAGTTTCCTTTCATCTCATTCCAGTTGATGTTTCATTACTTATTAGCTTTATCATACGCAATGATAATAGCAAAACATTGATACTTCTACTTTGCTCTTTTTTATTAATTGTTGTTATCCATTTATTAGGATACTAAGGACAAATGCAATATGACAAGGGCAACACCAATAGCTTCAATTAGAAAACTGCATAACCACAACCACAAGTACCATGATAACAAATCATCTTTGAAATCAAAATCTTGGTTAAAGGAGACTGAAAGAAACCTTAAAGCTACCCGATATTTCTTTCCCAATTTTTCAAGCTCAGCCATGACACAGTCCGTGATACAGGGAGTGGTGCCTAAATAAGCCAATGACAGTAAGATTGGCGTCAGCAATTAATTATTAATAAGACATAAAGTCAAGCAAAGCAAAGCAAAATGAAGGTAAGGAACAAGTATGGTAATAAAATACAAACTGAGTTTATCTTCCAACTCACATTTTGCATACAGACAGTCCATCATTCCTTTCTCCAGATCCAACTACACGTAAAGTCAGATCCCTTGAGTAATTAGTAATCACATATTTTAAGATTTAATAGAGTAATCAAATGCTGGCAATAATATCAAATGTTACACCAAAGAAGTGAGCACTCTGCTTCTCAACCTGAATTACAAAACAATGATCAAAGACAAGCAAGAAAACCAAAGAAGCATTCCAAAATAATGATAAAGTACCTTTCCACTGAAAGATGTACCCAGAGGAAGAGGTCTAATTGTGACGGTTCCATTTAGAGCTTCTTAAAGAACAGTGGCAGATATAGTTGTCTTTATTGGAACACCAAGCTTACTGAAGATGTCAATGAATCAGTTTGGTATCAGTAAACTTCCAGAACAATAAAGCATATGATTGTTAGATTAACTTCAAAAATCACCTGAATAATGCTGTGAACATTGTATTGTCAGTACCCAGGTTAGACAAGTCAATCTCCATGTCCATGCCTTCGCTTTCTATAGCCTAGCACAAAAAGACATTATGACAGGCATGCTATAGTATTTTGGGCAGGTAGAAAAAACTCACACAATACAAGTGAACAGAACATATCAAATAACCACTTGTGTCAAATCTCCTGCTGACACTAACTTAAGTGTTGGAAAATATATATACAGAAATCATTGTGCAACTTAGGCATAGTTAACGAGCTGAGTGTTAGGTGATGTGTGATCACTAATATGTTTATCTCAGGATTCTTCATTAGCTAACCAACCCATTTCTTTACGTATCATGCTCCACAGCTCCCGGCAACCTATACTCCTTTAGATTATATCTGATGAACAAATATGATCAAGCCCTAATTCGGACAATCCTTGACCTATTGTTGAATTAGAACAAAATGAAATGATGGCTAATTAGAACAAAATAAAATTGACCTATTGTTGAATTGAGCAGAAAGCGTAGGAAAAATTAAGTAATACCTTCTTCAATGAAATTCCTTACTGATTCTACCCGATGCAAAAATTCTACCCGATCTTAAGCCTTCAATTTGAAAAGATCGTAGGACGGCGTAACGTAAGAACCGAGAATGGGCTGAGAGGAAGGGTAACAGATAAACTGGTGAATTGAATTCATCTCTAAAAGTTGTTGGAGGTAATGGAAGATCAGAGGAGGAGGAGGAGGAGGAATTGAAAGGAGTAAAGTTTGGTAATTAAAATGACCGATGAATTGAAAGGACCGATGAATTGAAAGGAGGAAAATATGGGTAACTGATGAAAGGGTATCTTGGGGAGGCTATTTTGGGATATGTTTGGTAATTAAATTTGGGGTAAGGCTATTTTGGGGAGATGAAAGTTTTTCATGAACTCCCTCTTTTAAAGGGTAGATAGATTTTGCTAAGATTACCTCTCATAACGATCATAAATAAATTTGTTTTTAGTAGGGGATAAACTTACCATGGCGACCGTATACACTTTTCCTACACACTTCAATACCAACCACACACAAGAAAAGTGAGAAATGTCTAATCAACAAAAGTTTTTTTTTTTTTGATACCAACCAAATACAAGAAAATGGTATACATTGGTTTCCCACCTTGTTTTATGTGTGAACCAAACCTAAACAATTTATTTTTTGGAAAAGTTTGGAAAACCCAAACTTCGAGTTTCTTTACATGAAATTGTATTTCCTAATATATGGGGAAACAAACCAAACAGCCCCTCATTGACAACAATGACAGGTTTTGGAGACGATAGGGAACAACAATGGAGTGTCAGTGATGGGTCGATGCTGACCACACATAGTTAGCTTTGGGTGCATGGTGACACCTATTTATCAACGTGATTGACAAATTTTCATGCAGCAGCAGTCATTCCTTCCAATGAAGCAGCGAGCATCATGTTAGACGACGTTGGCCCATTGACTTAGTAAAATAGGACTTGCGGGAGTACCCAATAGCAATGATGTTATGGATATAAAAATGGAAGCAGAAAAGACTTTGTAGATATGAAACTAAGAGAAATTAAAGAAGACGAAACTTGAATTGTTGGACACATTTATTTACCTTTTCCTTTCTCTTTCACTGAGCAATTCCTCAGTGGAGAGCAAACTCAGCGGAAGATTAAAATTTTGCACATACTGGTTTGGTTGAGCCTTTCGCAGACTTGGGACTTTTTTCTTAGAGCGATTCTTGATTGACTCCCCCCACTTTTTTTCAGTTGGAATATTAGAAAAATAAATAGTGGAGAAGCTGAGATGGATATAATGGGGAAGATGGCTAGAGAAAATGGAAGAAGTGGGTTGATTTTTTTTTTCCTGAGGGTGTCATGGGTGTAATTGAGGAGGAGTGGGAGGTGTGGTTGAGGAGAAAGAGATGGCCTTTTTTGTTAACTTCTTTCACGGACCGGCCATATATTCTCTAATGGAATGGGCTTGGTGGGTTTATTCATTTATTTTTTGTTTGGCTCGTTGCTTGCGCACATGAAATAAATCGGTGAAGAGTTTGATTTGAACTTGCAAAACTTAGTTTTGGTTGCACAGGAAATCTAATTAGTTGGGATTTGATTTTGATTTAAATTTTTTCCGTGGTATTTGATTCTCCACAGGACCTGTCTCATTTGCAGAAAATTCACCTCAAACAAACTCACCCTCTTCTCACCCTCCCATTCGACTGGACAATGAGAGTCATCCAATTATATGGAGAAATCTGTTATCAAGCTCATGGATCCTCTTCTAATCAACAGTTATTTCTGTATAGTATTTTTTTCTTGAGTGTACTCCTCCACCCACGAAGCGTCTTGCTCACTCTAAAAATTACATCATACTCCCTTTAAAAGTACGAGTTCGGGAAAATCTTTTCATAGTCAATATTATCCTTAACTTTTTTGAATATTACATTGTTATTCTAATCTATTTTAATTATACTATCTTTTTTGAATTGGTAATTAAATAAATTATCATATTCGTAATGATATTTAACATGTTATTGGATAAAAGAGATACATTTGATATAATTCAAATTCTTTATTTATTTCAATTCACAGAGAAATCTAAAAAAACATATGCTAGCCAACACCTAAAATTTTTGGAATTTGTAAAAAATATCCTTTAAGCTTTTTAAATTGCAAAAACACCCCTACAAACTCAAAAAATTTATTAAAACACCTTAAAAATTATAAATTTTACTTATTTCAATTTAGTGAGAAATCTGAAAATATATCTTAGTTAGAAACTAAAAGTTATTTGACTTTGGAGAAAATATCTTGTAAGTTTTGAAAATTGTAAAAACACCACTAAAAATTCAAAATTTGTAAAACACCTTGAAAATTTCAAACCTATAAACACATTAAAAACCTACAAATAACACAAACAAACCCTAAAAATTATGGAATTTGAAATAAACACTCTAAACTTTTTACAAATTGTAAATTATAACCCTCAAAATTATAAAATTTATAAAAATGCTAATAACTTCCAACCTAACAGTACATTGAAAATATATAAATTTTAAATATCCCCTACATAATTTATAATTTATAGAAAACACCATTAAAATTTCAAAAAGTAAAAACAAAAATCCAAAATTTAAATTTTACAAAAAAACATCCTGAGAATTACAAACTCAATATTAAATTGAAAATAAAAAATTATAAATAGTCTATAAACAAATTACAATATGTAGAAATGACCTATAAGTTTAAAAAATTACAAAAAACCCCTAAAATTCATAATTTTTAAAAAACACCATGAGAATTTCTAACCTTTAAACACTAAAATAAATATATAAACTTACTAACAACCCTTACAAAACTAAAAATTTGTAAAAAAAATATCATACTCCCTTTAAAGTATAGGTTTAGGAAATACTTTTCATGGTCAATATTAGCCATAGTTTTTTTAAAAAGAATATATCTAATTATAAAACTATTAAATTTGAAATTTATAAAAAAACACTCTTAAAGTTTAGTACATTGCAAAGTACCCCTCCAAAGTTTGAAAATTTTCAATGATATTTTACAATTCCTTGATTTTCAATGTTATGTTTAACACTTTTGTATATTTGTAAATTACAAAATATTAGGGTGTTTTTTATAATTTTTAAAACTTTGAGGGTGTTTCTTTCGTAGTTTGCTAAATTTTCATTGTATTTTCAATATAATGCATAGATTCATCTATTCATAATGATAATTAAGAGTAAGTCATTCTTAAAATGTAGTAGGTCATAGTTAAGTGCACACCACTCTTTCTAAACAGTATAGTTTATATATGCAAATATTTTCAGACAATCTATATATTGGTTAAAAGGATTTTAACTTTAATTTATCATTTTTTATAAATTATATTTAATGTGAACCCACCATATAATTTTGACTATGGTAATCATAATTTTAATATATTTGATTGATTGACTAAATAGGTTGATAGACCATAGATTACTTTACTTTCTCACATGAACTAATATTTGATGCTTACTAATTTAAATTATTATTTTTAAATTTAATATAAAAATAATCTCTAATAACATTTATTTATTTACCTACAGGATTATACAATCTCAATTCCTTTTTTTTACTTGAGATTTATTCCATAGTTATGTGTATCAAATTAGCAACTAC